CAAAGTAGAGGCTGGCAAGAGAGCCATGCGGTTTAATGGGATTCAGGACTCCTTTGTGCTAGCTCCAGGTCAACCTCTTGCTTCGTGATCTTGGGGGAATCATTTAGGACAAAATATCAAAAAGCATCTACTAATTTCGGGTGTCTCCATTTTTGGGAGCTCCGCTTCAGGCATGCAGATGCCTCATCTTAGGCACCCAAAAGGAGTGGATAGTCTTCATCCATTTGGCCATAACATCTCTGAATTGGTTTCTTCCTCTGTAAAGTGGGGCTGGGGACATTTGCATTTCCTGAGATTGGGTAGCATAGCAGTTTGTGTCTGCACAGTGGTTTGATGACAGAAAGCGTGATGCGGGCACCAGGAACAATAACCTAGTAAGCAATAATGACAACCCAAAATATGGTTCTGAAAAATTAAATGGTCGTGTAAGTCTTATTTTAATGTTTTCTCAATTAAATCTCAATGCAGGCCTTGCTAATCCCTTTCCCTCGCCTTAACACGTGTCCTTCCCCTAATGTTTCTGGTGCCTTGAATGCCCTTTCTAGTATTATATTTGTCTCCATCCCATAAACAGTGCTCTTCTTGTACCTCTCACTTTCTTTTGTCATTGACTTACCCACGCTGCTTGAACAAGGTCTAATGTGTTTTGCTAACACCAGGCCCGCTGACGGGCAGAAGTGGGGGAACAAAGGAAGCAGTTGTTGCAGGGCCCAGTGATTCAAAGGGTTCTGGGCCTCCTGGCTGCCTCCACTGCTACTCCAGCAGCAGAAGTGGCTGGCGCTCTGGGCTCTTTAAATTGCTGTGTGGCTCTGAGGGCTGGGGATGAGGTGTGCTGCACTCTGGGGAGAATGGAGGGCAGGCTGCTTTGGCCCCAGCCCTCGTACCTGAGGCTCTGCCCTTTCTGAGGGCTGGAGTCCTGCCCTCCCTTGCCAAGGGGCCCACAGAGGCTATTGGCTTCCCTGGCTGACACCCGTTAGCAAATTCTCAGTTAAGAAACCAAGAGAGGTATAAAATACACAGACCATATCCTGTAGCAAAATGGACCCGTGTTTTCTGCAGTCTCTGCTATGAATTTTCCCATCGACTCTCTATGAGCCTGTCAGGATATGTCTGCACTGCAATTGGAGATGTGACTGCAGCATGCGTAGCCTGGAGTAGCTAGCTGAAATGATGACAGCAGTTAAACCCTCACAGCACAGGGACCGGAGTAGCTAGCCTGCTGACCCCGGGCTCCGTGCGGCACTGTGGCTTTGCAATGCCGTAGGTAGCCCAGCGTTAGGCTCCTCACAGCATTTCAAAGCAGCAGTGCCCCATGGAGCCCAGGGTCTGGCCCCTGGCTCCACATGGTGCTGCCGCTTTGAAGTACCCCCCATTCCTCCTGCTGCCTCTTTCTGATAGATGCGGGGAAGCGACTAGTCGACTAGCGTGTCAACTACCCAATAAGCATTTGCTAGTCGTTCACATCCCTAGTTTCCACTGTCCCTCAGAATAGAAGCATAATAATAATTCCTGTCCCAGTGCTTAGGAACCTGCGTGCAGCAGGGACACACTGCAAGCAGAATCAGTACATTTTGGCATTGAGAGTGAAGTACTGAGCCTCATGCTAATTAGAACCCAGTGAAGGGTCACGTTGTCCAAAACCCACTGCTGTCTGCTAGGCTACTGAACACCACTGTCAAATGGAGAGGCATTCCCAGTTAGCAGGTGACCCCTCAGACACAAGCACCCAAGTTAACTAGCTCCCTTGCTGGCAGTTTCAGAAGACAGAGCCTGGAAACTAGACCCCTTGCCTGCTCCTGGGTGCAGTCCCTCCCAAGCAGGGATGAGGCATGGTGAGAGAATGGAGTCAGGAGTATAGTATCACAGCCCATGCTGCAGCTGTGTGGTGGATAAACAAACCAATGCTTTTCCTAGGCCCTAATGTTACCAGTTGTCACACTCCCAAAAGAAAGTCCTGAGGGACCTTGAGATTCTGGATGTGGGAGCAGTCAGGCGCATGATGCTGAGGAGCTGAAGGCCCATGTGGTCCATCAGTGCAAAGGTCGAGGGCATCTGACTTTGCAAGAAGAACTTCATCGGTCGTGCTGCCAAGCAGAGCAGGGCCAGAGTCACAAAGCTGAGTCCCACAGGGAAATTCCTGGCTGTAAAAGTAGGAAAGGCATGTGACCTTGCTGATGTGTTGCCCACAGTGATCTACCATGTTTCTGCCATAGAGTATAGCACATACTTAGCCTAGGGATCTCTAGAGTCAATGCCGCAGGGTGGAGCTACCTCGCGGGGAGGTAAAAGGAGGTTTTATTTAAAGTACCTGAAAGAAATGCTGTCTGGAAGCCACAGCATGTGCATCGCCTTCACTGCTCTGGACTCTCCTGGTCATGAGAAGAGTGGCCATTTGTTCTCTCTTCACTTCCTGAGATGGGTGTTGGTGTCCAGGCTTAAAGCATTTGTCATTATCTAGCTCTGTCTCTCACTCCATTTCCTTCCCCTCTCTTTTATTTCCTCCAGCTCAAGAGGAGGGCTATAGCAGTCTGCATAGATGCCCGTATGGAGGTATTCGTACCAAAGCAGCAGTCGCTTTGTAGTCTTGGCCGCTTTGATGATAATACTGAAAGCATTGTTCAGATCGTGCATAACTAACCCTCACCACGCTCCTGGGAGGGGAGTTTTATGTCCACTGGTGAAACAGGAATAACTGTGACACAAGGGCGGGTGCAGCTTGTGCCATGTCACACCACGACTCGGTTACAGAGTAGGGACTAGGAGTCAGAGGCTTCTGCCTCCTTGCCCCTATGTGCAAATCACTAGGCCATTCTGCCTCTGTTTATTTTGCAGCAATGTCCTGCATGGAGCAGCAGACTGCACACACTCCTAAATAAACCAATAATCCTTTGATAACAATAACTTATCCTGCTATAGCAATGCAGCACTTGAGGGCTAAGCATTGCACACTTTGCTAACGAATGATTGACAGCTTCACCTTAGCCTAAAGATAGCCCTTCGCTAAGCAAATGGAATTCCACTGAGTCCAGTGGGGTTATGGCTGGGCTGTATTTGATTCCTGGTTGAGGTAAGGTTTGAATAGACATTCAGAAATCGGAGTGCTTCTTTAAACTCAATCTTCTCCTAGTGAAAACCCTTCAAGCCAGTCTGCTTTCCTTCTCCCATAAGTGGTTGAGTGGGAAATCCTCTCCAGGAGATAAAGGAGGAGAGCTGATAAACTGGATTTAGGTTTCATTTCCAGCACACACACTATTACAGCCTTCTCCATTTATCCATGTCTGTTTTTGCCGGCTCACGTGATCTGCACAGCCAAGGAGCTGTATATTCTAGCCCAGATATCTCTCTCATGAAGAATGAGCATCAGTGATGGAAAATGCAGGGCGAAGTCATTCTTCTTTTTTAAACAATTCTGACCGTGACAGTCTTGCATTTTAATGGAACAGTGTAACATTGAAATATATAGCCATCTTATAGCACCAATAGGTTATCTGTATTGACCATGATTGGAGCAGAAAGGAGAGGAGCCACAGGCCTTTTCACTCCCTAAACCACATGAAGAATTCAGTTAAATGGACCCTATAAATATGGAACTAATTTTTCAAAATGTTTTCTTACTAATGTCAAGAAGAGTTTATAGAATGCAGAGCTACCCAAAATTATTGAAAAGGGAAGAATTTTAAACCTGTGCTTTAGTCTTCACTAGAGATGCTGTTTACATTGTGTATTTCACTCAGCTGGCAGGATGAAACTATGTTGGTCAATTTCAGTTTCCTCCTGCTCATCCAGTAGCAGAATGGTGTTACAGTATTGTCAGTTCTTGTAATAGTATCACAGTATTTGGTGTTTTACCTAATGCCTCAGGCCAGCAGAGTCATCTCATGACATAAGACTCAGGTTTCTTTTTTTTTAAAGCAACTTTATAGCCTTACCGGTTGCAGACAAAAAGCTTGGAAATGTGACCTGAGCAAGATTTATTTTTAATGTCTCATAATTATTAAACCAGTCTCATGATTTTTTTCACAGCCCAACTCATGATTTTTTTAAATGCTCAGTGGTGGCACTGCTGCTGTTGTGTTGTGTTTCCACCAATAGTGGAGAGGCAAATGTTGCATTTTTTAAAATAAAACAACATTTTAATTGCTAATAGGTTTCTGTAGCACATTTTATTTTTTTGAAGATAGTGCCTTGTAGATATTTTCTAAGTGCCTTGTTTATCAATCAGAGAATGTTCTACCATGTTTATGAATCAGATTTTAAATCGATTCATATTATTTATGCAGATCACTTATTCTTTCAATGCACTGACTAATGATTGATAGTGAAGGTCTTTCAAGGTGGTCGCTGAGTAACTGTGGCTGGATGATTGAAGGCTTATACTGCAAGTGGTCATTAAGAGCTAGATTTTTCCAACAGTTCAGCACTTGCAATTGGGGCTAGATTTTCAGAAGTCATAAATGGGGCTTGATTTTTCAAAAGAGACCTGACCATGAGTGGCATGATGGGAGCTGCTCATTGAAAATCTGAGCCTTAATTATTATGCCTAAATGGGAAATGAGCTCTTCTGAAAATCTGGTCCCAGTTTTGGGAGCTGAGCACTGAAAAATCTTGCTTTCAGC